CCTTCAGTAGCTTGTGTTACATTTTACACTCTGTTCTTCCATCTCTGGAGCTGTGTGGTTCATGGTGGTAACCACTAACTAGCCTGTGGCTGTTGAATTGATTGAAATCATCTAAAATTACATATTCAGTCGGGCTGACCTCTGTGACAGCACAGAACTGAGACCTTGCTATTACATTTTCATGGGCAGTGGTGCCCTTGCTGAGTGGTACACAGACTACTTTAGGACTTTCTTTGTAATGCCACTATGTCTTTGCCATCGGGTAGGCAGTAATTAACAAATACCTGTTGACGTCACATGAGATGGTTTGATCACCACTCTGAGGTACTTGCATCTTTTTAGACCCATTTATACTGCTATTTTTTGAGGGGTCCTGTTGTGGGGCCTGGGCGCTGTCCCTCAGCTCTTCAGCTCAAGGCTAGCGCTCTACCACTTGAGCCACAGCGCCGCTTCCGGCTTTTTTCTTTTTGCTTATGTGGTGCTGAGGAATCGAACCCAGGGCCTCAGGGATACAAGGCAAGCGCTCTACACTAAGCCACCTTCCCAGCCCTATACTGCTATTTTTGTGACGTATATTCTTTAAATAATGAAACACACATTTCTCTCCAGCATATGAAACATTTAGTTGTATGTCTCATATTGGTTAAAATGTAGAGTGAAATACAAGATAAATTACTTTTGATATGCTAATACCACTAAGTGTCCAGATGTTCAGTTCTAATATTACAAAAGCAGACTTTATGCTTGTCACTCTACTATAGTTACTTTTGTTTAAAACCTGAATGTGATCTTAAGTTACTTGAATTCTTGGTTGGGTATTTTTGTTTGTTTCTTTTTTTCAACTGTATGATTGATAGTTGGAATAGGGAACTGGAGTTTTTTCAGGCTAGCTTGTTGCAGGTCTGAGTTTTAATTAGAATAAATTGCAATATTAAAAGTAGGACTTTAGAAATCCTTTTCTCTGATGGGATTAGTGGTTTAGTTTTACTTATAATTATTGCGTGCTCTAACTCAGCATCAGCAGTAGAAGAGCAGTGAGTAACTGCTCAGTTCTTATCTCCAGAATGTGACACTGTTGTCACCCTGGCTTTGTCACTGACATGAGGTTATAACTTTGTTGTCTTTTTTTTGTAAAATGTAATTTTCATGAAGGCATTTTTACTGCTCTGTCCCCAGCAGCATAATCAATAAGGTTTTGTTTGGGGTGAGGACCAACAATCCTGAATATATTTCAGATCCTGATTAAGTCAGATTTTAATTCTTCTTTAGTTTAATTGTTCAAAGAGAAAGTTTTTTGTAGTAAAAAGAAACTGTTCAAATGGAAATTTTAGTTCAGTAAAACTCATTTGGTCTTTGAGGTATATCTGTAATAAAAAATTACATTTCTAGTTTCCTTTAAAGATAATTTTTAACTTTGTATTTCCAGCCATGTTGAGAATGACCAAAGACCATGTGCTTCCTGAGCTGAATAAGGTATGCACAGAAGTACGTATGGCCAGCCCTGCGTGTCAGCAGGTTCCATCTCAGTAGATTCAACCAACCACCAAGGAAAAATATTCTGAAAATAATACATCTGTTCCAAACATATGTACTTGTTTTTCTCTTTACTATTCCTTACACAATACAACAATAGTTATTTACATTGTATTAGGTGTTACAAGCACTCTAAAGGGATTTAAAGTGAACAGGAGGATGTGTTTTCTTATATAAATATCTTGAGCACCTGTGGATTGTGTTATCCGTGGGGGTCTTAGAACCAATCTCTCAGATAACAGGGGACACCTGTGTAATTTCCTTTGTATTGTCCTGATTGAGCTCAGCCTTGCTCATGGTTTTGTTACTCTTACAGATTTAGATAACAGGACATTAGGCTTTTTATCTAAAGAAATTTGAGTGTTTGCCTAATATTTTCATTTCGCAGAATACTGTTATGGATATTTGAATTTACAATTTTCATGTTTGAATGAGGTTTTATAATTCTTAAACATATCATCCTTATATTCTTTAACTGCCTTGTCTTTTTTTTTTAATTGTGAAAATACTCTACCGAGGGGTTACAATTACATGGGCAAAATAATGAGTACATTTCTTATCAAGCATTGTAGCTTCCTCCTTTGTTTCCCCTTCCCATCCCAACCTCCCCCCACCCTCCCACCCAACCCTCCTCCCCCCCTTCCAAAGTTGTAAAGTTCGTTTTCGACATATGACTTGTACATCTCATTGTTGCAATGGGTTCACCTGTATCCCTATTTAAATGATTTGTTTTTTCCCTTCCCCTCTACAAATTATAACAGCATCAAATACAGTGAAAGCAGAGGTTATACCGTGAGGGAGGGACATACAAAGCAACAAAGAAATAATCTTATAAATGTGTTAGAAACAATCGTATGAAAGAAAAAAACATTTGAATATGTATCTTAGGGTTCATTTTCCTAACATCACCTTATCTGACCTTTTCTGTTTGACTCAGACATATACAAGTTATTGCAAATAAGGGAAACCATGGGATCTATGTTTCTTTGGGCCTGGTTTACTTCACTTAGTATAATTTTTTCCAAGTCTTTCCATTTCCTAACAAATGGGGCAATATCATTCTTTCTGATGGAGGCATAGAAT